AAATGCCAACCCCATCTCTTGTGGGAGCCACACGTATGCAAAGTGTCCGTGGGCATGCCCAGTCACCTCTTTCTTCCCTGTGGTTGTAGTGTAAGAGTCTGTCTCCTATCAGCATCCCAAAGCATACTGAAAATGGACGCTGTGTGTATTTTGTATCTTACCTCTTTGGGCAACCTCTTTTCTATTTTAACAAATATGTCCTTGGTTTGTGCTATCCTTCATTTGTAGAGCCAGTTCCACAGATAATTAGGAGAAAATAACTCATGAAGCAAATTTTTCACAGACAAACAGAATAACAAACATCTTTTGACACTACAAAGAGGAAGTCGCAGCATTTAGAGAGAACAATAACTTATTGAGCTGGAAAAAAAAACACCACTGGGTGCAGAATTAGAAGGATGCAAGTGCATGTGTATATTTAAAATTTAAAGAAATGTGCTTTGTGTTCTATATATTCAGTGGTCTGATACAAGTTAGAGTGTGCCATTGTCTTTTCCTTAGTTAAGGAAACAAGAAGGGAGGCTGAATTCCTGCTTCATAGAATCATAGAATGGTTAGGGTTGGAAGGGACCTCAAAGATCATCTAGTTCCAACTCCCCTGACACGGGCAGGGACACTTTCCACTACACCATATTGCTCAAAGCCTCATCCAACCTGGTCTTGAACGCTTCCAGGGATGGGGCGTCCACAGCTTCTCTGAGCAACCTGTTCCAGTGCCTCACCACCCTCTGAGTGAAGAATTTCTTCCTTATATCTAATCTAAATGTACCCTCTTTCAGTTTAAAGCCATTGCCCCTTGTCCTATCACTACATGCCCTTGTAAAAAGTCCCTCTCCAACTTTCTTGTAGGCCCCTGTTAGGTACTGGAAGGCTGCTAGAAGGTCTCCCGGAACTATTCTCTTCTCCAGGCTGAACAACCCCAACTCTCTCAGCCTGTCTTCATAGGAGAGGTGCTCCAGCCCTCACATTATCTTCATGACCCTCAGCAGATGTTTGTCTGTGTCCTTAACCCATGCTGTTGTATGATGATTTTCGTGATGAGATTATATGATGAGATTAGAACTGTTAAGAACAAGTATTCAGTTCTTCCATTTGTTTAGACAAAGATGAAGAGAAGGCTCCAGGAATGGAAAGCTGATGAGAATCTAGAATTGGGAAGGGATGCTTGATTAGTTTAGGATCTGCTTTTTAATTGTTTTTCATTGTTTGTTTTTAAATTCTTTTTTAAATTGAGGGTAGGTGGAGGAGGTGCTGGCAGTCTTATTTGTGCTTTTGCAGATTTTCAGATTTCTCAAGAGGTAATGGGAGGCAGAATCTTATGCTGGAATTTCCTGGAAATTTCTTGTTTTGTTCTATTAAACATGTAGACTTTCTGGTTTTGTTGACATTCTCATAAGCAGCAAGAGGGAAATTTGTAGTGTTGTTTTATTGGGGGCTGAGTGTTACTGAAATAAATAGGAGTTTCTTTACAGTGTCAAAGTTAGAAACTTCTTGTTACTAGAGGTCCAGAAAAATTCTTTGTTGAGATTGACATAGTCAGGCAGACTAATTTGGCCTGAAAGAATAAGGTGAAGGAGAATTGTGTTGGTGTAGAAAATCTGTTCTTATTACTAAAAATTGATTTTGACCTTTGTGGAGACACTAATTTCACTTCCTGATAAAAGAAAATTTTGGATGATTGCTCCAGGTCAGGCTTACAACACTTGAAAGATTCATCAGTGATCTTGATTTGTTTTGACATGTTTTTTGGCCTACTACTGAGGTTTGTGTTTCTGTTTCTTCTAGGTATTTGCTTGCAGTCAGTGTTGCTTGTTGATTTGCAGCCTCGCTGCCTTGGCAGTTGAACAGTGTTGCCCACAGGTCCTACCATTGTTCTTCACTCCTGTATAATAGGAGTCCAATAATAAAAATGAGACAATAATCGTAAATAAGACTCCGATAATAAAAATGCCTTTTCAATTCTGTAATTAGTTGGGTTTGCTTGCTTTTCTCTTGGGTAAGATGTATTTCATTCTGATTTTTATTAATTCTAAAGAAACAGCATTGTCAAAAATTACCACATTTATTCAGACTACTGCAGTGCCTTTGGCTCCTGTCATTAGAATGGCTTAGTGAAGAGTCTAACAAGAAAATAGCTCCCATGACTTTGACAACAAAATCTTTACAGAAAGCTTATTCTCATAAACAACTCATTTTCAGTCATCCCAGTCAGCAGCATGACCCAGTTCCCCAACGAATGTTCAAGCGAAATGTCTGCGCTATGCTCTGTTGCCTCACACCAGAGAATAGGTCCACGTGTTTTTTTTGAGGGAGAATTTCCTCTGTTGGCATTATGTGTCGAGGGCTCAGTGGCAGAATCACTTTTAATTAGCACCTGTGGCAGTCCTTTAAACGTGTATTTCTAGTGATGCTGGTGAAGAGTCACCAAACAGATGGGGAGAACTCATGTGGATGTTCAGATCAGAACCAGCTCACTAAATTGAAAAATTAAGAATCGTATCTCCGTCGAGTGGGTGTGAGTTAGAGTGTGCTCCAGCACACAGATTGCCTTTCCCAGTTTTTGTATAGCGAAGAGACAAACAGATTTGCTCTGCAATCTTTATTTCTTCTGAAACTGTTCACCGAGTAGTACCTCTCATCCTAAAAATGGGTGTTGGTTTTGTTCCATTATTTGGTTAGTTGTTCTTAAATAAACTCCAGATCTAAAAAAAAAAGAAACATGACCTGCCCAATAGCGTATACTGTTTTGGTTCACGTTGATATTTTGAAAAGGAAAGAAGAGAGTAACAGAAGTTACACAAACAGATGCCCAAAGCCATCTGCTCCTCTCCTCACGGTCGTTAGACATTCGGCTTGGAATAGCTCTCCTTTCCTTCAGGGCTATGTTGGCTGGCTTTAAAATGAGCACAAAATGAAGTGAAAACACCTTGTAGGCGTTCACAAACTTCCACCGATTCGCAGTCTGGTTTGCGTAAACTAAGTACTTCCCAAAAAGCTTTGCAGTCATTAGCCTTGCTGGAAAGCCATTTGGGAGTGATGCAGGGCGGCTGTCACAGATTGCAGCTAAGAAACTCAGGGTCCTTCAGGGGCGGGATCACAGTTTCCCAGGCTGGCTTAACCCAGCAGACTGTGTATACCTGTGGTTGGACAGAGCCCAAAGAGACAGTATAAAAATAATAAATTATTAATATCTGGAAGACATAAAGCTTAATGAATAAGTAATAAGTCATAGCGTTTTCCTTTTCTTAGAAATACAGACTGGCTGTATTTGTTTCCATTTTCCTTTCATTGAGCATTTTTCTCCTGTTGCTCTTTCTAAGTGCCTACAGTGCTGAAATTTAAGATTAATTTAAAACTTTTTAAGTTTAAGAAATTAATTTAAGAAATTTAATTAAATTTTTAAATTTAATTTAAGTTGAAGAAATTTAAGATTAATTTAAGAAACTAAGGAAGTCGTACTGCTGCCATTCAAGCTGAGGGAGAGGAGGAAGGTAGGGATGTTTTCTCGAGAGGGCTTTTGCTGATTTTGCTAGCAGGTAGGGAGGGTCTGGAACAGCTGAGCTATTGCACAGCTCGGTCCAGCAGTGTCTCCCAAGTAACATAGCAAAGGAGAGCCCACTGCATGCCAGCGGAGACATGGGCACACAGAGGTACCGTAATTTTCCCAGCATCATCCCTCTGCTTAACAAAAACCTAAATGTTCGGGGTGTCTCCCAAGTCTCATACTCGTGCTCTGCTGGCAGCATAAGCTGGGGGAAGCCTTTTGAACAAGCATAGGCAGTAAAAGAAGACTGGGGTGGCATTTCGTCACTGGCCACCACCACTGTGCTGCCACTGACAGGGATCCAGCCCTCAACCTCTAGCAGGATCCAAATCAGGCCGTGCTAAGACCTTTTAAAGCCCGGCCAACAAGCACGTTTGGAGATCGCCCCCTATTTGAAGCAATGGTTTCTCTGCAGTCCTGGCTGCGTTTCAACTTTGATAACTCTGCTCCACCTGCTTAAAATCCCTCCCCAGTGTTTCACTGGGTATGGCATTGGCCCCTCCTGTTCTGCGGCACTGCAATGTTGCCCTTCCAGTTTCATACCACCTGCTCATAAACTGATTTCTAGATCATCTGTGCCTCCATTTATTAATTGAGCTGGCTTCTTTGTAATTATTTCAGAGGATCTAAATGTGCAGGCAGTAAGTACGTGAACGGCCCTGGTGCTGTGCAGCACAGTAGCTTCTCTTGGTGTTTTTCTATCTGTACCACCCAGCAGGCTGTCATCCCTCCACATTCCTTTTACTGGTGAGGTTTGGGTTCATCCACATTAGTCTGAATTGACCAGTTGCCCCTGTGAGCACGTCCTTGTTAGCAGTGAAGTTAGAGGAGGGCTCTCCATGAGAGGAAGGGGGAACTGGTGCTCAGCAAAGGTGTGGGATCCGCTCAGGTCACGGGGTGGATCTTGGACGAATCAGTTCTGTTCTTCACGTAGGCATAACAGGCAAGGTAGCGCTTTTCCTTCCACAGATGGCTTGCTGGAGGATTTTATCACAGTGAGTTTATTTTGTGACCTCGAGCTTCCACACAAAGTCTGCTCCCCTTCCCATTCATCTCTGATTTCACTTCATATTTCTTTTTTTTCCCTCCCTCTTGGCATGTCATTATGTTTTCATCAATGTATCAACAAGAGGGCAGCTGTTGTTGCTTTGTCTCTGGTATTGTCTTCTCCATCTGGACCTTGGAATGGGGAGATCTTTGAAATCCATGACTTTTAGGCAGAAGCAAGTGCTTCACTTTCCCCCTTGCCTGCAAGTATTTATATCCAAACTGTAAAATCAATCTTTTCCAAGTACTTTTTCTTCTTAAATCTGACTGCTGCTAACACTGTGTTTCTTTCATTAACAGATTAGTTTTGCAGCAAACCTGTCACCAGCAGCCTGCCCTGTTGTACCCACCACCAGGCACGAAAACTCCGAGGAGAAGCTGAAGGCAAACCACGTCTTGGAGACAGTCCATGGGGACTGTACCGGATCCTCTGAGATCTGCCAAGCTTCCCCTGGTCACAGCCTCATTGGAGGAGGACCACTTGGGAGACCTGCGGTCTGCCAAGCACCAGCCCCAACCACCCAGCGGAGAGAGGGCCAGCAATGGCTTCCCGTGCGCGCCGTCCGGCTCGGCCGGTGTCTGCCCCTTCGACCTGAGACCCACGGTGGCCGCCAGCCCGCAGGAGTGTGAGCCATGCTGCGAGGAGGATGCTAGCCAGCAGGAAGCCTTCCCTGCTGGGCTCGCCGGCAAAGCTGCAGAGCAGTCTCCGGAGACCGTAGGGCATGCCGGTTGCCCGCGGCCAGCGGACAGCCAGGGAGCGGGCCCTGCAGCAGCAGCCCCTGTGGCGGGGCAAGTGCCAGAGGTGATGCCGGCCCCCCCGAGCTCCCGGCAGCTTGTGCAAGGCAGCCAGGGGAAAACAAGCTCCCTGGCACAAATGGATGACTCAGCCTTGAAACCTCAGGGGACTGATGATCAGCCGGCGCTTGAGGTGTTAAATTATTCTTCCCCGAGTGACCCTGTTAGGGGTAACGAGTCCTGCCCTACTTCTCCAGCAAACCTTCTGCAGAGAGAGGAAAAAGACAGGGGAGTGGAAAACAACGGTTCTGTGGCATGTCCGTCAGCCTGGCTGGTGAAGCACGCCGCAGCTGACCTGCAGAGAGACCCGCGGGCCAGTGTGGAGACAAAAAGCGGGGCTGTGGGCACCTTGCAGCTGCATCCCATGGATCAAACTGGATTGGCACAGAGCAGAGAGGCACCAGCCCAGTCCAGCCACGAGAGCCCACGTCCCGTATGCACTCTGGGCACTGAGCCCGGGAGTCCGGGCCCCACCCAGCTCTCCAAATTCAGAGAAATGGGTACCATGACTGTTCAGTCGGGGAGCAGCTCTTTAACTCAGGAAGCAGTAAGCAGGATGTGGCGAGATGCTGAGGTTCAGGCCGTGGCTACCGTGGAGAGCAAATCGGCCTCCACCAGTCCCAGCATCCTTGCTGCCTTCTTAAAAGGGAATCCTCCTCCTGAGGACAAGGAAGAACTGCACATAATTTACCAAGGAGGTATGGGGCTGAGCCAGTCTGCGCTTACTGATGCTTTATCCTCACAACAAAAGTCCCCACATTCTCCTGGTATCACGTCAAAGTCGACTGTTGTTATGGCTGGGACTGCTTCAGCCCAAACCCAGCCTGCCAAACTGCCCGGAGTCCCATCTGACATGATGTCTCCAGCATCAGCAGATAATGCAAAACCTGCTCTTCCCTTCTCGCCTGCAGTCATTACCTCCCAAGGGACATCTGTGGGTAATGCTGAAATGGTCGGTGCAGCCCATGACAGCAAGCATGCTGCTCGGCTGCCGATGGATGCTCCAGTCCCACCAAAGCCCATCCCTGTGGAGCAGCTTGCAGTCAATTCCAGTAATCAGACTCCATCACAGTCTGGGTCTGGCGCTGGTGAACCAAGCACCGCTGCTGCTGCCGCTGTCCCAGGAACTGAGAATGACGCGCGAGATCTCACCCATGATGCAGGAAGCAGCCACTTACCTTTACTCTGCAGCACAGACAGTGAAGTCAAGCAGAAGGAGGTCCTGGGCAGCTCTGAGCAGAAGCCTGTGCAAAGTAAGGGTGCGAGTCAAGTGGAGGAGATTCTTAATCAATCTGTGGTAAAAACAAAGGAAGAAAACTTAGTGGTGCTTGATCCTAAAGGAGAGATGAAAGCGAGCAGCCAACCTGCTGCTGTCCGTACAAAGATGTGCTTGGAGAACACACATGAAAAAGAGGAGAGCAGAGGCCAGGGAGATGCTGGCCAGGCTCAGACGGCTGGTGACCAGAGCCTGCAGGCAGGACTGACGCCAGAGTTGAGCATGAGTTCTGCACGTCTCACCCCTCCCTTGGAGGCACTGGCAGCTCCCCAGCAGCAAGACCTCCAGGCCAAGGGGTCCAGAGGTGAGCTTCACATGGCAGCTCTTCCTGCTTCAGCTCAGGCCTTGCCAAACCTGGGGGAAAACAAAAAGCAGCCCACCCTGGCCATGGAGGCAAAAGTGCAGGTGAAGCAGTCCAAGCATGTCAGGGATGTTGTTTGGGACGAGCAAGGCATGACATGGGAGGTTTACGGTGCTTCCCTCGATCCAGAATCCCTGGGAATTGCCATCCAGAACCACTTACAGAGACAAATACGGGAACACGAGAAACTGATTCGGGCCCAGAACAGTCAGACCCGGAAATCGGTTTCCTCGGATACATCCTCAAATAAAAAACTGAAAGGGAGGCAGCACAACATGTTCCAGTCCATGCTGCAGAATTTTAGGCGTCCTAATTGCTGTGTCCGACCCGCTCCCTCTTCTGTGTTAGACTGACGTGGTTTGCAGGGGCGCGTAGATGTCTGCGGTGGTAGAGAGAGTCCCTCCCCTCGAGTCTCGAGTCCTGCTGTTCGGTTGTGTTATTGGGGTTGTGATGCAGCAACAGTGGAAAATTATTCCCCTTTGTTTTCTGAGTAGCCACACGCTCCATCACGCCGTTATTATTGCCACAGCTGGTGTGTTTCCACATGAAGCCCCTGTCCCAACTACTGCCAGATGAAAAGCTAGGCACTTAGCAAAAGCACAAATTTAAATTGCCACCTTGCTGCGGGGAGAGCAGCACCTTCTGATAAAGCAAGAAGCAGAGAGATTGTCAGAATTAATACGGGAAGTTGTTTGTGTGCATCATGAGGTCTTCTACTGAGGGGCTGGGCTGAGGGAAGCTAGGTGAGGTGAAACTAAGATCCAACAGCTGTAAAGACCTAGTGCAAGACAGCTTTCCTGGTGTGTAAGTTACCCATGCTGAGACAAGTCCGTGAAAAGGCTACGTATATTGATCACCAAGCAGTCTCACTTCTCTTGATACCGGGGGGCACCGTTCTCATGTGAGGCCCAGAGCCAGATCTTTTCCTTCCACTGAAACGGAGAACCAGGCAAAGAGCGAGGATCAAGGCTCTGAAGAATTATCTCTTTGGGAGAAGTTAAGTCAATGGGATTTTGATGGCTAGGAGGGGAGGTGAGAGAAGCATATGTTCTGCAGGCTCTTTCTCCCCCGCATCAGCCACGCTGAAGGTATGAGCAGGCGATGCGCGCAGCACAGGCGAGGCACGAGAGAGCACCTCGGTGGATGTACCCGCGTCCGGCAGGACGGTGCCCTCTCTCACGCTGTGACACCCCAGCCAAGTCTTTCAAAATCAGCGAGCCCTTCTGGCTCCTCCGCCGAGGTGGGCAGCCCTGCTCCCAGCCTCCCGCCACACTGAGCACCTCTCCTCTAGACCCCTCTTTAAAGTGATGCGGATTTTCTTCTCTCTCCGAAGACACACAGTAATGTTTTCCCGTAGGAGCAGGCTGTCCTGTGCATCCGGGTCCATGAGCCCACGTCTAGTGTGTTACACTGATTTTTTTTTTTTTTCTTTTTAAGTCCTTATCCAACTCTACTTTTTTGCAGTATTTTGGTGCTTTTCTTGCTGCCTTTCATAAACCGAATACCGTTTATTCAGCCTGTGCATATTTCGTTTTACCTAACGCTGTCTATATTATAAACCATTATATTGTTAACTTGAAGCATTTACTTTGCAGAAGTACTGAAATCTTGAGACAATCTTTGCTGTATTTCTAATGTTAGAAAAGTTGTAGAAACTGCTAATAAAAGGTAGCTTAGTGACTGTTTCTCCAGAAGTGTGATATACAATAATGACTCAAATGTACATTGGTCACATTTCTCACCTTAATAATACTTTTCAACCTAGGAAATGTGTTTCCCGCTAGCTTTTTTTTCTGTCCACTAGAGTTCATGATGGGAGGCTGAGGAACTCCTGCAGTTTGTAGTAAATTTAGTTTTCAATCCTGCAAAGCACTGAGGATTTGAGTATTGTAATCCTGCAGAGTACTATAGTTAAACAGGGGTTATTTTTATTCCATTAAAGATTTTTCATGAATCATGATGATAATTTATTTCTGTCTCTAGTTCCACACTCCTGACTTACCCTGTAGATCTTACTCTTATGACTTGCTCTGTAAATCTTACAGGTTTACACAGTGCAAATGAGTATTAACAACTTTTTTTTTTCTTTTTTTTCTGTGAAGCAGACATGAGGTGGTCTCCTTTTACTTGGGAGGCCAGACTTTTTGAGTGTATCAACTGCAAAACCATCAAAGCAGCTGGTTTGGGGCAATTTTTCCCCTGCAGAGAGGTAAAATACTATAAGATACAATATTTTAATCTAGTTCAATGAAAGGTGTTGCCCCTAGGTGTAGTAGTGAATTGACTCCTAGTTTTCCTCTGGTGTATATTTGGGGGCTTTATGGCACATCTTTGTTCCATTTCTGTACATTATTTCAGGTCCTCTCCCACTTGATGCTAAATTGCTAATTCTGAAATACCACATTAGAACGTCTTCCGACGTCTGCCTACCAGGAGGAAAGTGTCCTACCTTTTTTCTGTTAGTGCTGCTGTTTCCATCCCCTTCCTAGCAGTGTCTGAGATGTGAGTTTCATGTGAAATTTTGTGTGGGATTAATATTGGCAGTATCATTAGGTCAGGTTAATTGACAAGTTCAGTGTCTCTTCCCACGTTGTGTCCGTGTCAGCCCTGAAGAAGTTCCCGGAGTTGTTCACAGTGTTTGCTGTGTCCTGTCCAGGTCCAAGGCTTCGCGCTGCTCCTTTCGCCTCCCTTCTGCCCCCTCCCTCACTAGCTGCTGCCCAGCCTGTCTTCCTGCGAAACGATGTCCCTGGCTCAGCTTGCATCCCTCTCTCCACTGTCACCCTCGCTGTAGTGTTGTGAGCCAGCTTGCTCTGAACCGTCCCTTGACAAATATGCTCAGTCTGAATATATAAATGGATTGTCACTTTTTTTTTTTCCCAGAGGAGAATAAATGGCTATCGCACATTCACCGATTTCCATGAACTTTATCCTTTAGCTTAAGCTCTCCGAAATATTTCTAGCATATGGGTGTGAGTTGCTTTATTGAGACCAAACTGGGCTTGGCAATGAATGAGCAGGATGCTGGGCCAGCACTGGAATTAGCTCTTTTTTGTGAGGAGTGGGAGATTTCACCTGGTTCCTGCAGCTGCTTCCAGCTGTGAGTCTTCACCAGTCAGTCCACCTCCACCTCCCTCCCCACCCCAAACGACCTTTCTTCCAGGAAGATTTCACCAATACGTACGTACCGCAAAACACCGATAGGCAAGTTTTTAAGTGGATACAGCTGAACAACTGCATGGGCAAAACTGGGAAAACCGTAGTGGTCAGCAGAGTGCTGTGCTTTTGTATTCCAGGACAATGCAAGCGCAAAGACAAACTGCAGAATGTCAGTGACGCTGCCTGGTGGGCACAGAAGCCCTGCAGGCGTGCGTTTGAAGCCAAGCAATAACATGCCAAAATCCAACACATGAAAGAGTAAATAATCACCAGCACATCTCACAGAAAACATTTTAGGTTTTCACTTTGCCTTACTAGGGTAGACTGTAGGCAACCTGCTAGTTTATTGCTGGTAATTTATGCTTTCTCCTGCATGCAAAGTCTAGATGATGGTGTGAATCCTCGTGGGGATGATGCATCTTTCACCAGCAGCAAAACAGAACCATGTTTTGCGTAGTAGTTAGCAAATATTATGGGCGTGAGTGGTCTTGTGGCAGCCAAGAAAGACTATTCTTGATGTCACATCAGCATCGAAAATGAAAGTGTGCTTGGAGTAGCAGTATGGCAGAGGTTAGGGGGAGATGATCCGCATGCCACCACCCTGCTCTTTTTCTCTGCCTAGTGAGTCAGAGTCATGTTACATTGGTTGGATGTTTAACAACCAAGGAAATCAATTTGGACTAATAAAAAGAGAGTTCAAAACAGAAAGTACTTTGTTGTTCTCAAGAGTAAATCTGTATGAAAAAAAAAATAAAAGACCTGTGTTGCAGGCTAGCCAGTTGAAGTAATTCTTAAATTCCATTTGTTGCAAGATGAGAAATTTTGGGAAACAAGCTAATTGTCAGGAAACTCTTCCCTATTGGTTGCATCTTCTGGGAAGGTGGAGATGGGCAGAGCCATTAATAAAATCAGTGAATGAGAATGAAAGAGTTAATTTCTAGTTTCACTTCAGGAGCTTTCCCCTAGGAAAGGTGAGAATAAGCATGTTTCCATGCTGCCTGAGTTGGAGGAGAACCTCACTGCACGCAATTTGAAACACAGTCCTGGATTTCATGTGAGACTGTGACATCCACTGCTGTCTGTGTATGCTTGGTTGGTGTCTACCTGCTTTGCGTTGCCTTGGGCACAAATGCTGAAGTCCTGCCTCATTTCTACTGACTTAGCTTGGAAAAAAGAGTGGGAAAAGAGCTGGAGGCACAAGAAGGAGAATATCTGTCTTCTCTATTTCAGAGGAAGAAAACCTTTTGAATATACAGGAAGGAACTGCTGAGAAACATGGGGAGGGAGGGACCAAAATAGAAGTAAAATAAAGTTGAGGTAGGTGCTTCACAAGGAATTCCCATTCCTATGTCTGTCAAGCCAATGTTCTGCTTAAGTTTGGCCTGTTTGTTCATTCTGAGCTCACACATTTTTTGTATTGTTGGTGTCCCGTGGCTTTCAGGAAAATGAACTGTATATTTTCCTAGTATGTATAGATATATCCAAATGCAATTCAACAAAACCACTAGGCAAACAACCTCAGTTTATTACTGCTACTACCGCAGAAGAGTTTGTGAAATGCACTGTTTGGAGAAGTGTGTTCAAGGGATTCAGAAAAGGTGAATATGTGCTCTGAAGATAACACTAGCTTCTATCTTGATCTTCATGACTATGTTGAAGTGTTAAAGTTAGAAGTGGAAATCCAAATGAAAATTAGTGTTGAAGTTGACAGAAAATTCAAGTTGGCTGCCACTGGTTTTCAGTTTGGAAACTTCATGGAATTTACCATACCAGTGTTTCCTTACTTAGCTCAGTATATGCAAGGTTTGTGTGAAAGTACAGATTTTATTAAGTTATTAGCTCCATTGTCTTGTTCTATGTCTATCCTTCTACACATTTTTAAAAGGAATGCAAAAGGTTACCAAGACAGAGTAAGTTTTTCACACTCAGCTTATGGAAATGACTGCTCTGAATGAGACAACTGATATCAGACTCCATGGTCTAAGGTAAAGCTTATGATCTGAAGGAAACTCTTCCCTCCTGTTTTTTTTTCCCGTTTTTGTAACATCTCAACCTCTGCTGGTTTATTTTTTGGTGACTCTGTGATACCTGTATGAGTGGCTGGTATTTTCAGTCATCCCAAAGATATGCACATAGATCCTCATACAAATGCTGCACACTAACAAATATCTCTGGAGTCACTGGATGCTGTGGTGGT